ATAGAGAACTGTAAATGGAGAGGAAACAAGGTTTCTGTTTTAATTAATATAAGGGTGAATAATTTGCTGCTTCTGGTTGAAAAAAAGAAGAGGATTGCAAAAAGCTTCTGCATTATAATCCATGTTTACTTCCACAAACACAAAACATGCTTGCTACTTATGACATCATTTTGACATCACATATATTTGGAACTACAAACTCAGAGACCGCCAGACCTCCATGAAGCAACAAATTTTACCAAATATTGTAACTTACACCTATAGCTAAATTTGCACATGAATTGGATAATTATCAAATTTAAATTAATTGTTCCTTGGCATGAGGCGCACCTCTGTTAAAAAATGTCCATGCAATCCGTTCAGAAGTTTTAATTTAATCCTGCTAAAAAACCAACAACGTTTCCTGTCCTTGTTTTTGTCTACATAGAAATATTTCTGGACTTTTTGATTCCAATGCTGAGACTGTCAATAGTGGGGAACTGCTAGTTCCACAAAATATCCCTATCTCACAATGTCAGAGAATCTTTTAAAACATTCCTGTATCCAGATTATGATCTGGATTATCACCAAAATTTAATGGGTTTTTCCTTGGCTGGAAGGACACATCTAATAAAAATATAATTAAAATCCGTCCATAACTTTTTAAGCTTATGCTCTTTCTGCTTTTTCTCCTAGTAGCTTCATCTGGTCTGTTCCTGTTTGGTTGTGATGCCGTCCCAGAGAGAAATATCAACTATGATGTCGTCATCAACACCTTTGTTTATAGATGTTCGAGATCGGCCTGTTTTTTCAGTGTAGTCCTGTTTCTCTGACTGTGACTGGCTGGATGTGCTCTCTTCATCCTCTGACATGGGGGCTGGCTCGGAGTTCATCTGCCTGGCTTTGTGTTACCTGGAGGGGGCTGCATTAGGAGCTGGTTGACCGTTGCCTTTTGAATGTCTGCTTCTTTCTGTATCTCTGCTTCTGTCTCCTTGAACCTCAGCCGGCCTCGCCAGATGGCCGCTCACGCTGAGGCTAGTTCTGCTGGAGGTTTCTTCCTGTTAAAAGGGAGTTTTTCCTCTCCACTGTCGCTACATGCATGCTTGGTGTGAGGGATTGCCTTCGAGTCAATAAGTCGCTGCGATCAATGAATCAATTTGACTGTATGATCTGGTTGAATTGTCTCTGTAAAGAGCCTTGAGATGATGTGTCGAATTGCTGCTATATAAATAAAATGAATTGAAGCTACAAAACCCACTGGATTAAATAGAAAAGATTAGAAAGAACTTTTATCTTCTTAGAGTAGGGAAATTTACAGTAGGTGGGATTTTTAATCTTGAGTATGTGTGTTTTAGGGCGAGTTACTAAACACAATATGGAGGAAACAATGAATAATGAATGAAAATATATAACCTGACTAAAACTGACCAAAAGGAAAGCATAAATTACATTTTTAAAAACACAAAGTATCAAATGGAATAACTAGAGGTATTAAATCCTCCAACACCCAACCATGATCATGGTTATAAGATATACAAAGGTCTTTCATCACAAAAAAATTATGTTAACATAAGCAAAGGAACATGTTTAAGTTGGTTTTCATTGAGCCAATCATTCAAAACCAACACTATCCAGTACCGATTTCTTTATGAACTCAGCAGAGTTATTTCACTCTGGAGTGCAGTCACGGATGCCATATGTGCCTAAGCTGTACATCATAGAAAGATGTATTCTGAATGAAGAAATGAGAACATTTTAAACTTTATCAAACCGTTCAATCAAACTTGGTGAAGATGTATTACGTTTCTCTTGTAAAGATGTATGAATTGTTCATTCCTGCCAATCCCTCCTACAGCGCACTATGAGGGTTAGTTTTTACTTTTGGAATTCTTTCTTTAACATAATATTCTGCTTTTTCTGTTTATCAGCAATCATAGTTAGGCTATGCAAAGAATAGACAGGTGAGTTTAAACATTTATGTTCATTACTGTTAACTCCGATTATCTGCTCAATTATTTCAAAATGGGAGCGCAAATATCCCAAATGCACTGTGAAAGCCAAGTGGCATGTCTGTAGAGTGTGTATTTCTTGATAAGAAATAAAGCTTGAGGTTTTGTAGAAATATTTCTATCACACTGATCCACTCTAAAGATAAGTTCTTCTGACCTGAGCACAGCCCTGAGCTAAAATTGAAATCTGCTGTTTTAGTCAAACTGATGTACTGCTGCTTCCAATTACCTCCTACCATCCAATTCAGCTTCTCGTTACAACTCCCTCTGGAATGAAAATATAGATTAATACTCCTTTCCTTTCATTTATAGAGTTTCATGAAACATTCGTAAGTCGGAGTTCTTCAGCTTTGTGAGAATTGATGCCGTGCTCCTGCATATCTGTGCCACTGTGGCTCAAACTTCCTCACATAAATATTACCTAGAAGCAAGCCTGTTTCTTACAGAAAATGTGATATTTTCTATCTGGTGATATATGTTAGTTTTGATGACTTATACCAAGAGGAAGAGCTTATGATGGGTTTTCTTTTTTCTTCTGTAAAGATGAATGAGGCAGCAGACTGTGAAGTGCATGGAAAAGGCAGTGTTTTGCATTTAAATCTGATGAACACACCAGTAGCTGTAGATAAAGAAAAATATAGCTTTCACTTTAGCTCTTACTATGCAGCATCTCAGAATTCAAGGTAGACTCCGATTAAAAAGCAATCACTCTTCACCTGATCATCCCCTTCTTTTTATTCTTGCCTTTGAAAAGACTCACATGCATACCTATTTAATGCAATGCTAATTCACAGGAAGACAACATGTTAGCCCATGATAAGCTGCAGGGGCACAGACTGCAGTGTAAGTAGGTTAGACCCCAAGAGCCCTGAAGACACAGTCTGGCTTGGAACTTTTAAAGAATTATGATAGTGTTGCAACATCTGCTGCCTCAGAGGAAGACAGACAGTGATGAATGGCCAGGTGTGATATGTGTGTGCACACACAGAGCAGGAAACAAAGGACCCATAGAATGAATGTGTGTATAGGTGAATCCACAGCTTACATACAGGCTGGCTGAGGGACCGCTTTAATAAGCAATGCATACATCTGTGTCAGACGACAGTTTTTGTTTGCTAGGAATCACTAATTAGCAGTGGATGTAAGTATGCATGGCATGTGTGCGCCCAATACCAACTGTCAAAAACGCAGTAATATGTTTGTGATGGTGCACTGTTTAATAGCTGCCAACAATGTCCGTGTGAATGCATCTCCAGATGAATAAATAATCCCCCCTAGAACAGATAAAGATTAATGATGTATTTATCATCTAGTGACAAGAGCTTAATGCTGCACATTCAAGATCGGTATCTTGACTGCAGCCCTAAAGCCCAGCTGATGAGATTGTTGAGCTGCAGAAAATACAACAGTCTTCACTGTCAGAAAAATAATTGCTATGCTACAGAAACGTGACATGAACAACATACCGTTCATCGCTCTTTGTTGAATCATTTGTAGATGCTAAAACATAAAGTTTGCATAAAAGCTCTCCAGAACACACACATGCATGCAGGAAGCCATTTTTACTGTCTGACATTAAAATAAGACTAAATTGCTAAAACTTTATACGTTGTAGGTCAGTTAGGATTATTGTACTTCAGCTAAATGCCAGCAAAATTTGATTCTTTATTACTTTCTAATTTTAAAGCTTCAAATTCCTCCTAATTGAAGACACTAAAACATTTTTTTCTTTAGGTTGCTAAGTAACTAACTTAGTGATACACTTAAGGTCATATCCAGTTTGGACCAAATCTCATCCTCGCTTTGACTTTCTGGTGGATTTCCTTAATATGAGCCAAACTGAACCAGAATAAAGTGGATATAAAATTAAAACATTAAGATGAATCATAATTGAAAGCAAGCAGACTGAAAACAATGGCTATCAGGATAATTTTTAGCTGGTAGCAGCAATAATTGCACAGTGGTCTCACCTGGCCTTCCATTGGTTCATCTGAAAGCAGCTTCTCAGCTGGTTTTTCCAGCAGCTCCATCCAGAGCTCTATAGGGTAACAACCCTAGTGTCAGTTTTTTTTACGTCAGTTTTACTAAAAAAAGGTAATCAAGTTATAGTTCAGACAAAAAAAAACCTGGGAAGCCTTGTCTCGGTTCTCTTTTCTGGTTGGTCCCACACAGGTGAGAATCATCAGTCAAATTAATGGAGCATGCAGCTTTTTCAGTTCATGCAGTTGCTGCTTCAGGAAAAAATGCAACAAATAAACTGACAACTACAGTTGGTTTTTTAGCTCAGCCACATTTTCAAAATTTAGGAATAGGAAACAGTGTTCTTGAAATGTGGACTTAGGCAAATGAATATTGAAAAAAAATATATATATATATGTTCTGCAAAATAATTATCACATTGTTTGAAATTTAACATATTAAAAAAGTTAGTATCGCAACATAGTGTATGTAAATGTATGTTTTCAACCATATATTTATAATCATACCTCTAATTTTCCAACAGTGTACCTGCAGTACGGTACATGGGGCACAAGCAATCAAAGATTTTTACACTAGAAAACTTTGCATGTGTTTGGTTATTCTATTTCAACAATTTAAAAACATCCCACCACTGTGTCAGATTTCAATTATGACTATTTTTGCCTGCTATCTCTCTGCCACGGTAGAGCTGAAGACAGTTACCGGCAGTTTCTCATAGCGGGAGGCTCTGTGACGATAGAGACACTATTACATCTCAGCAACAGATGGTGAACGTTTCACAAACCTCATGTCCAAAAAACCTGAACCCGTTGAAAAATAGTAACAGAGACTGTTAAATAGGAAACGCTGGCAATTTAAGTATGACTGAATTTATCCTGGAGAGGAGAAAAGATCAAATGCTACCATAGAGAATAAAAGAAAAATGAGACAAAACTGAAGATACATTAATGATAATTTGGTGTCTTATAAGGTATTTAATATGTAATTCAAAAATACATAAGTTTTTTAATGCATCACAGGTAAAAATCCAATATGAAAGTTCTGTAGAAAAAATACTTAAGACAATAATACCTGCATTACCGTTAACTAGGAATCTAAACACATAAACTAGTGGAGAAATGGCCCCGACTCTGAAATCTAAGCACAAATTGTAAGCTTTTTAGTTAAGGTGTATCTCCATAAAGAAAAGCATCTTTACTTGTAGAAAAAAGACTATCTGTTCAATATCTTCTTCTTCTTCTTTTGTAGCAACTAAAGCTTCTATAAAAATGACCCCTCCACATTTGCTCCTTTGTTCTTCTCAACTGGTTCTTCAGGGAAAACTCTGGGTGACGGAGGTGACTTGGGGACTTCAAGGGTCTTCTGTTCAGTTTGGATTGGAGGCAGGATGGACTTGGATCCCACATTTATATCTGAAAAACAAAAGCAAGCAGCAGGTCGATCAGTTACTGTAGACAAAATGTCAAATGTTTACACTGCATTGTGGTTGAATCAGGCTTTTTTTTTTTAATAAAAACCTTTAAATAAAGTTTATTGCAAAACAATAGGTATAGTTCAGCTTTGGGCAGCAGCAGTTTTACCATAAGAATGAGGGATTTAATTAAGAACAATTATTGATACAAAAGCTATATTCTTGATTCCAGTATTCTGTGAAATGGGTGTAATTTTTCTATTTAATATACACATGCAAATATCCTAGCATAATAAGCCATACCAACCCTTGAGCAGTTCTGTTGTTTGTACCAGTATGGAATTATGTAGCGGTTTAACCATGCCAACGGCTGACCTGGGACCTGCTGGAACGGAGCTGGCACTAAACGCATCAGAGCTACAAGTAAAAAAAGATGCAAGAAACCCGTAAGGTGAGATTCAACACGGAAGGAAGAGATTGTTTTCAGTATTTCATTTTCAATTAACAACAATTTAACAATTAAACATTAGAGAAAATGAATCTTTACTAGAGTATAACAATGCACACAGGAATATTATGACCGGCAGAAGCAATAAAATCTGAATTTATGGGTGGGTAGGTTTGTAAAAGTGTCAAACTGAGCATTTATAGCAAATGTGCAGACATTTGTCCTCACATGGCTCATAGAACTTAACAATCTATAAAAAAAAAATAACAAAAAACTTCTACAGCTCTGGGTTCAGAGGCAGAGAGTCTCCTCTGCAAACAGAAGTAGGAACTGAATACAGCTGATTTTATACATTTATAGGAAATGTCCAAAGTTTAACTATTTGACTTAATTTGCTTTTTCTCACAGAGTAACACTGGTGTCCAAAGTGCGGCCTGGGGGAATTTGCAGTCCTTGGTTGGATTTTGTGTGACCCCAGACCCCTGTTAAAGAATGATACACATTTGGCCTCAAGCGCGGATGGAGATTGAGATTATTTCAGTTTCTAAAGAGGGAAAATTTTATACAAAATAAAATAATCGTACAAATGGAACTGTTAGGTGCAACGTAAATTTCAATGTGACCAAACCTTTTGCATTCATTTCAGCTCTACATTAAATAGAACCTAACTGTTCCAGTGATTTTTACTTAAAAACTGACTGGTGCAAATTTTCTATTGATAGTTTAAAGAAACTTTGCTATATACAGCAACCACCATCGATCCAAATCATGCTTTGATCTGTCAGAATATAATCTTTTTTTTTTTTGTAATTTCTGTCAGGTCAGGCCAAAATGATTGCAAACTCTCTCCCTTTCTTCTGAAAAAGGAAAATGCTCAGAAACCTCTCAGTGAAATAAGTCTAGGGCTGCAACAAATGGTTATTTTGCAAATTGATTAATCTGTCAACAATTTTTTCGATTAATTATCGGATAGCCAAAGTCCTCAAAGAATTTTTTATATGAAATTCAACCAGGTGAAACTAAAAAGTTTCATCTTGAGGAGTTCTAATAGAGCATTGAGACAGATGAAAAGGTTTTTTTTTTTTATCTTAAATGCAAAATATTTATATATTCTTTATAATTTTGGTATAATTACTGCTGTAAGTCGGTTGCTCTATCGGCTAAAGGCATGTTTTACAGTCTCTATACTCCATTTAACAATTTATTGATTAGTAAAAGTTGATGATTATTTCAATAATTGATTAAAACGATTAATTGTTTCAGTCTTGAATAAGTCAGTAAATATACTCATCTGTTTCCTGCAAAAAAAACTGCTAAGCTATTTGTTTTTTATTGTGACTTTTTTTGTTTTTCCTGTGACTACTTGGATTCATTTTAGTAGCATGTGACAAAAGGTTTGGGAACAATGGAATAAATATATTTATTTCAACACATTAACATGGATCGGACAATCAGTAAGCATTTGAAATTCTTTTTTATTTTTAACTCTTTTTTGTTCCTTTACCTGCTATCCTCTTGAAAGATCACACCAGCATCCTAATAACGTTGCAGTGATAATGTTTTTAGTATCAACCTTTGCTAAATAACACAACAGGACTAACAAAGTTAGTCTAAAAATGGCAGACAAACTAGCATGCAAAACAGTTTTTTTGTTTTTTCTTTAATCAATCTGGTCATGTTTGGTAGCTACTGGTGGGGGTGTATGCCTGGACCCAGACATACCCAGGCTGGAACAATGCAAAACAGCATTAACAAACAGTTTGTTTTAAATAATTCAGACACCTGGTACTTCACCCTCAATGTCAAAATCATTCTGAATCATTAAAATGCAGTTATTGTAGGACAAGTGTTGCGATTACACCAAATTGGCCCAACAGTGAATGGCGACTTTAAATTAGGCCCTGGAGTGAAGTGGAGTGGCTGCCACTTACTCGTACCCTTTGAAGAGCTGGCTGTACAACCCTGGTCTCTTTCCAGCAACTGCTTCCCTAGCCAGCTGCTCTCGCCTCCTCATGGAGGCCAGCTCCTGCAAAGAGGAGAAAAGGAAACACCTCTTTTGAGGCCAGCTGAGGATTTCTTCTTTAAACATTTGATTGATGTCCTTTTAATTTCATTCACAGACTTTACTGTCACATAATGTTTTCACAAACATCTAATAACTCACAATAAATGTTTTTGGGGGGCTGAGCTCTGCCTGGATATTTGTGAAGCTGGGCGTGAAGAGGGAGGGTGAGGGGTCGAGGGCTGATCCAAGGAGTGTCTCCGATGCATAAGGTGATGGTGGATCCTCTGCTAAAAAATGACCTGAAACATATTATTAGAGCAAAAGTTTCACATTCATGCCATTTATACCAAATACTGAATAATAAAACTCCCAAAAATTGTGATACTAATCTAAGGCACTTAGTGAGAATGACGAACATATTGAGGAGTTAACTTTTTGGAGAAATTAGCAGTCAGAAATTTTTTTTGTTTTTTTTTTAACCCTTGGTGTAAACAACCGTCTTTTGGAAGTTTTTTCTAATCTGTGTTTGTGCAAAAATCTGTCTCTGTGGGGACTTGTTAAAGATGTAGTGGAGGATTTTCACAAATTTATGAAAAGTCCCGCTCTCTCTTGAAAAAAAAAAATGCACATGCACAACCCTGTACCCCCTCCCGAGAGGGATCGTCTATTAAACACATGCAAGAGCATATACGAGCCCATCTCTCCTTGTGCATGCTGTGTTTAGAAGTTGCTGCTTACATCGCTCATACAAGCTTACTTTCCAAAAGAAGATTTGCAATTTTTCCACTATGTGAGACTCACCACCGTTAAGTTAAAATGGGGATGAACACGTAGGATGGCCTCACATAAACATATCACTATAATGATTAAATGGGAGGACCACTTATTTAGATGATCCACCCGAAAAAGAAAATCCTCTGCTATACCTTTAAGAAGACAGGAGTTCAGCAATTTCTTTATGGACCCCTTACAAGCATTGGCTTCTGGTCAGGGACCTCCTTTGCAAACTAACAAACAATAGCACAAAAAAAATCTACTTTAAGAAAGTTTTTCTTGCTTTTATATCTATTCGGGGAGGTTGTCATTACTTTAGTATATGAATATTAGCATTTTTCCAAAACTGTACTATATTTGGATTTAATAACACGCCTTTAAAAAAGAACAGAACAGAGTAAAGCAAACCTCATTCAAGTGTCTGCCGTAGGGCTGAGCTTAATGTCTGTCGGTACCATACGTATGTCATTAACCACCTGTAGACCATGGAAGGTTAAAACGGATATTAGAGGGAGATGAAAAGCCAGATTTACACAAGTAGGTTGTTGCAAAAGGAAAAAAAGGCATTTTATGGCCCTGTCAGCCAAGACACTTCAGCTCTGATCCTCTGATTTTTTTTTCTTAATATATTTCTATAAGTCATATTATATAAGACTGAGATGGACTGGCGGCCTATCCAGGGTGTACCCCGCCTCTCGCCCATTGACTGCTGGAGATAGGCACCAGCACCCCTCGCAACCACACTTGGGATAAGCGTGCTAGAAAATGGATGGATGGATAAATAAAAATAATTTCTTAGATTTTATGTTAAAAAGAATTGGATTCCTTTTTGCGAATCTATTTTCCTTCTTTTTGATCTTGTTTCAGCATCTTTTTTGTCCTTGTACAGACCACACTTTTAAAAACAAAATACAACAATGCGTTGACATAAATTTACCCTTCCCTTTCATGAAACAATTTACTGAAACTTCGCGTGGTGAAAAAAAATAAAAAAAAATCCAATTTAAACCTGATGTCAGTTCTTACTGAACAGGGATCTGCTGCAGGCACTCAGTGAGAGTTTGTGGACACAGCAGACAAAAATAGGTTCCTTCTAACCATTCTTAAAACATTGTGGGGTTAAGTGTAGTATTTTCACTAACCCATGACACTAAAGACTTTATTTGACAACTGTCATGTTAAAAATAACAGATTTAAATGAAAAAAGCAGTGTCAGTATTGTGCCTATTTAATGCAATTGACCTATGATGTCAAACTCTAGATATTATGAGAGACAATATTACAAAAATTGTTCATAAATGAATGAGATGTGAAAAACTAAAAGGAGTAACACCTGTACTGCTGCTGACAGAGAAGAATCCACTGTTGGTCTTTCCTTCCTCCTCTTCCTTTTCAGCTAACAGGTAGTCCTTCACCACTTGCTGCAAGGTCTGGTAAGCTTCTTCCCAATCATCTTAATAAATACAGACATAAATAAACACACATGAGGAAGCCTGGTCCTCAACACAGCCAGCGTATCCAACCTCAAAGAGCAATGAATCAAAGATATGGAGATTTTGACCTTGGTGTAATGAGGAGCTTGCAAGCAGTGCATAAAAGTGATGAATGTTTCCTGCTCGCTGTTTGTTCATCTCATTAAGAAAACAGCTAATAGTCAAAGTGCTATCAAGAGGAAAGTTAAACACACTGATCCTGCAGTTAAATGTGGATTGAAAAGATATTAAAGATTATGAAAATATGCTTTGTTTACAATAAAAGGAAAACAGGGAACAAATAAAATGCAATGATAATAATTTATGAAATTAAAACTTCAATCACAAAATGTCTTTTTTACCACATGGGATGATGTTATTGAAGAATCCTGGACGTTGTTCACTGGTGTTTATGTACAGAGCCACACGTTTTAATGCAAAATCAATCTGTGCTGGGGGGTGGAGTTTGAGGCTTTTCAAGTGGCTTATGAATTTCTCCATCTGGGTGGGTATGAGCAGGATGTATCGAGGCTCAAAGTAGGTCTTCTTTAGACTTAAAACACCCTGAAAAAAAATGAGTCTCTTACAATTTTGAGTTACTCTTTTATTAGTAAATGCAGAATACATAAAACATAATTTTAGCTTTATATGTAAGTTTCACACAGGTACCTCCAGCTCCATGTGTACACAGCAAACCAGTCCATCTTCCACTACTTCCTCAATAGCTTCTCTTGTGAGGCCAAACATATGACCGTTATACTGCATAGTTTGGATAAACTTACCCTTGTGTAAGAAAACAGAGAGGAAGAAAAAAGACAATTTTAAGTATAGCTGTGTTAAAAACATATGTTTTCCAATTCTGTATTAATTAGGCCCGAGCAGCGACAGCGCTGCTGCGAGAGCCTATTGTATCTGTAGTGTTTATTATTAGGCCCGAGCAGCTCACCGCTGCGAGAGCCTATTGTTCCTGTACCGTTTATTAGGCCCGAGCAGCGACAGCGCTGCTGCGAGAGCCTATTGTATCTGTAATGTTTATTATTATTATTATTATTTTTCTCCTTACAAATAAAATGGCTTTTTGGAGGCTTTACCATATTCCAAAACTCACCAAAGTTTGCGGACGCATCAGACCTGGTGAAAATTTACGTATTTTAATGGTCCCGTAAAAATTGCAAACCAAATGCCTCAACGGCGCCACCTTAAAATTTTCAAAACACCCTCCCCATTGACCTTTTTTTCTCTTAGAGACATGAAAATTGGCACACTTGTAGAGTGCCCTCACACTTACAAATAAGTCAATTAATGTCATACTAAATTGTGTTCAGGAAGTCGGCCATCTTGGAGTAAATTTCAAATTTTGACCGTGATTTTGCATTTTTAGCCTCTCTATTTGATCGAACTCCTCCTGGGGATTTTGAGCCATCGGCTTCAAACTTGGTGTGTATGCAGATAAGGCATGTGAGATCAAAACTTATCAATTTTTTAGAGTTTTTCAGCATTTTAAAGGGGTGTGGCCAGGCCTGAAAATTGGCGTACTCGCCAACGATTTTCTAAGCCCAATAACTTTTACATATAAAACTGAAATGACACCAAATTTGGTAGTGTTGATCCTCTCTAGTTTCCAAACAAAACTGTATATTAAAACTTTGACATGACTTAAGCCACGCCCCCTGATAACCGGAAGTAACGTCTTGTACTTGGAATGGTCTCTCTCTGTCCTAGTTGACCTCATCAACCTAAGACTGTGTCAGCTGACAGACAACATGTTGTCCTAACTTTGTTTAAGGCACAGAGAGCTTTAGTCAAATGGTGTTGCCGTGGCGCCATGGCGAAGTGAGGTGTTTCGCCATGAAAATACGAATGGCTCTCATTTCCCCATTTATAATCAGATCTGCACCAAAATCACAAGAGATGATCCTAGTCCAACTCCAAACAGGAATCCAGAGCAATA